AAGAAAGACACTGGGGAACATTTCAGGTAAGCCATAACTATGTGATGATACACAGATTAATAGAAATGGGTTAATTTAAGGTATAAGAGTTAGTTAATAAGAAGCTTGAGCTAATATGCCAAATAGTGTTGTAATTAATATAGTTTCTGTGTGATTATTTATATCTGGCCACTGGGAAATGAACGAGCAGTCTCTGTTCTTACAAATACTTAACCTTGCGTGAACAGATGAAAAGACTCCCTAACAGAGTAAATTCCAAATTCAAGCTTAGAAAGTGAGAGCAAACTCAGAAAGAGTCAAAAAATATTAATACGAACATCTTTACATAGGACTGTGTTTCACGTTTGTTTAACTCTTTTACCTCCTACAAGAGCTCCTATAAGATAGTTGTATTAATGTCTGCATTTTGCAGGTAAGGAAACTTGCCTATGGTCACAGAGTAGAGGGCTGAGCTAGAATATGAACCCTGGGAAAGCAGGCTCCCAAGTCTGTGCTCTTGCTCTCATGAAGCTGTCTCTGTGTTGTGATCTGTATTAATCGGACAATTACTGAGCATCCACTATGTGTACATGCCATGCCCACAAGCAAGTTAAAACAGACAGAAGATCAAAATGCAAACAACCAACTTCAACACAGAAGCATTATGAAAGAAGTGCTGTAACAGAGGTTCCAATATGTCAGCATATACAGAAGGAATCTCTGATTCTGTCTGGGGTGAGCATCGGGCAGCAGAGACCGGCATATCCGGGCTTCCAGAGTTGGGTGTATGAAGATAGAGAGGCTGCTTCTGTTCCTTCCTGTGGGAGGCCAGGTGAATCCAGCAGCTCCTTGTGCCACTCAAGCTCTGCTCAATGACCCTTCAGCCAGTGACTAAGTGACTAGTGAGCAGAGATGCAAAACCTACATATGCTATGATTATTCTTTGTGGCTTGCGGAATTTGCCATTCACCAATGTCAGTCATACACACTGTCTGCAAAACTCTCCAGGATTTTTGCCACCTCCTTAGCTTCTGAAAGTCAGATTGGGGGTCACTATCTACAAAAGTGAGATTCAGTGTCACAAGATTGAGTAAAGCATAGCCAGTGCTGGGTTAAGGTTTTATCTCATCTATGATCATGAACCCTTTACCAGTACCACTTTTAGAGAAAATAGCAAGGGATATCAGAGGTCAATTCATCCATGGCCATGAGACTAGAAATGGCTCACAGGGATTAAGTACATGGCAAAGGAAGAGGCAGAATCATAACAAAACTACCCTGACTCAAAGTCTGATCCTCTCACCTCCAACCCTGCTGTCCTTTTTCTGAGGCATATTCTACCAATAGGACTGTCTGAGGCATCTAGCTAGGAGATTCAATATAGTCATCAAGCTAGCAAAAAGAGCAAACCTATAAATTTCTCTTAGGTTTGTGGAAATCCGTAAGTGCATGGCATAATCTCACAGCACACCAAAGTGAACATACTTGCCACCTTCAAAACCATCAAAAGGAATTATAAATCCATGTCCTACTAACAGTACATAGTGCTTCCTTTTTAGCTTCCTTAATGAATGAATGTCTTTGAGACATCTGCCAAAGTGGGCCCCATTTAGAGATTTTCTAACATACTAAGAGGGAAATGATTTTAATATTGCCCATTTGTGTTTTTTGGGTGGAGGTATGATTTATGAGTCATAAGAAATTATCTCTTACTGCTAAAACCTAAAGAATACCCAGGGATAGGAGACAGATTAGCGAGTAAAAGCATGAGTCTTTGAATTTAGATCCCCAGAACACGAGTGTGTAGTAGTACATGTTTGTATCCCTAGAGTTGGGAGCTGGAGACAGGAGGATCCTGGGGGCTCACTGGCCAGCTGACCTAGTACAAACAACTAGCTTTGTGTTCAGGGATAAGCTGGCTCTAAATAAATAAATAATATTAATAATTTAGAAGTGACCGAGGAAAGGCAACCCAATGTTGGCCTCTGGTCTCCATACTAGTCTGTACAGGTAAGGATATCTGTGCACACTCATACTTCCCACAAGAATATACAAATTTATTTTGCAAATTGCCCCGATTGCTCAAATAATAAAAATTTTAGGGCTATGTTTTTAATGAAATGGATAAAAAGAAAAATCACGCCTCAAGATCTACTATCACCTATGAACCCTAAGTTACATGGTGTACTTCCTTGGCCCCTACAATGTTACGAGAAACTGGATAGATTATGATTAGTGACACCCTTCTCTAGACTGGCAAGGTCACAACCAAAGCTCTTTCAAAGAGATTTCTCTAAGAACTTCTACGTGCTAGTCTGTACTCATGACTGTCTTCTAGACAAACACAGTCTCTTCTATGTAGTTCTAAGTGGAGATGAGCCAGTGGTGCATAACCAACACCAACAAATTACTATTGTTTCTGCAGAAGAAGAACAGTGCGTTCCATGACTCCAAATCTGTCTGCATATCAATCAATGGGGAAATCTGGGGGGAAAAAAAGGAAAAAAAAGAAAAACCTTGGTTTCTGTACTAGAATTTTTGAACCAAAGTGTTTGAAGATGCTGTGAACCTGCTGTATTTTTAGCATGCTTTCTGGGTGTTTCTAACAGCATTTGGGGATTGATAACAATCTGGATCCTCTCTCTGGTCTAAAGTTCAGTGTTTGTTCAACCTACAGAGGAAGCAGCAGAGAAGGATGAAAATCAGTGTGGAGACGGACTGGCTGAAGTTATATCAAAAGACCACAGATTCTACTGCTAATGCACTGTATTGTATTACAGTCTTCTCAACAACACAAGGTTCTTTTTGCTCCAGTTACAGTTCAATATGAACAGGAGAAAACCAACTTACACATAATTAAATGAGTACAGTTCAAAAAGCAGTTAATTATATTTATGTTGAAAACTCACATAAAGAAAACAGCAATCTTTTCTCCTACTTCCTATCAGTGGCGGTTTCTTTCATTTAACAGTTTTTCATACTCTCTGAGCCACAATAAAATTCTATTAGAGAGAATAGAGAGGCCATGCCACTTGTGAGTCTGGCTGCCAAGTCCATATTCATGCCACTCCACTACATTTTGTTAAGGAGTTTCCTCTTTACCAAGGGGCTAGTTTGCTTCTCACTCTTCTTAGGTTGTCAATGTGACTAGGTTAGTCTCAACCCCACCCCTTCTCTTACAACATATGAACAGACAAAATGCTTGATTTATCTTATTTTTTAAAGAGAACACTAAATTTAGTCTTAGACTTTACTGTTTGGGAAGTTTCCAGTTACAAGGTCTTGGCTTCCCTTGAGCACAGTTTGAAACAAAATAATGCTGTTTGTTCCTAAGGCTGGAACATGCAGACTGGAGTGCGCAGACACAGAGGCCCTGGCTCTGGTCCAGTGTTTCAAACCTCCTTAAACTTCCACTTCTTTGCCTCAAGGGCTACAGAAAAGCAAACAGGATTAGTTTGTTCTAATGCAGACGAATTAGGAAAGCTCTGCATATGCTGGTAAGACATCTGGCCACTGCCTGGGTTGACATGGACATAGCAAGGTGGAGTTCCTCCAAAAAGAAGTGAAATTAACACAAATCTGAAAACCTGCCTCAGCTACAAACTGTCCTTTTTCAGGTCACTAGAGCAGATGGTGTGCTCAGACAATGAAGTGCTGTCTCCCTGCATGAGAGAGCGTGATGGGACACGTGAGGTTGGGAAAGGATCCAGGACTTCTCCTGAACATTGAAATATCTACAAAGGCCAGGTTTGGGTGCTGGTGAGAAGATTATCACCTAATTGTAGGTGATTACAATTATCACCTACCACTTGTCCAGGGTACCAGTATACAGGCTCTACCCTAGTCCTTTATTCTCTGGGAAAAATGTGTGCTTGTCTGGCTGTGAAGAAACTGAGAAATAATGTTTTGTTAGCTTTTTCTTTCTCTAAATGAGGTACCATCAGAAAAGTATTAATTGTTCTCATAGATCTGGGAGTGATACAAATAATTACATGTGAAAACATATGGCTTTGCCCCCAATAGTGCTTCCTTCTTAAGCATTTGTTTAGCCCACCATCTAGATATGCTAAATAAATTTATTAGTAAAGTAAACATGCTTTGTCATCAGTTAACTGTAGAGTTGGGGTGGATACTCTAACAATTTTTTCTTTGATTCTAGTGGTAGCTCCTACACAGGGTTATAATGTGTAAGAGTCCCAATCAACATAACCTGGTGGCAAAGATAAGAATTTTGAATGGACTGAGATTCTCTTGTGTGCATCATCTCTGGCTGTTTCTTCCTTCCCAGAAGATTCCTTCTACATACAGCATCATGGTCTATTTTGTGGCTCTCTCTCATGTCTGACTAATGTACTGACTTCAGGCAAGTTTTTTCATCTTCCCAAATGGACAGACTGCTCTGTAAAATGGGAATAATTCTAAATACTTGGAATAATGATAGCAATGTAAGGTCTTCTTTCTAAAAAATTCCTATCTTTGATATACTAGCTATCCACAATTATTTCCAAAAACCAATGAGTTAATCTTGAATGTGAAAATGTGGAAGAAAAACGGGATCTTTGTGTTCCAAGAAATCAGAGAACAAGATTTAGCAAAGCTTTCCCTATTTATCATTTATAAAGGAAAACAATCAATAAACATTAACTGAGCAAAGAGAATAAAAACTTACATTTATCTTATACAGAATATCACAATGTTATTGACCGGGACACCCTGAATACATATGTATTACCTAAAATAAGTAGTGTGGAGGTTTGCCTAAAACACACAGTCTGTTTTACAGATGTATTCTGGAATGCTCCATAACCTTTATCTTTCAGGTCCTCAATAGTTCTGAGAAGCATTAAGCTATATCTTATCAGGAAAAATGGAGAATGTGGTTTGTTGGAGTATTAAGATATATCAGGTTCGTCCAAGAGGGTCCTCAGAACACCTCAGGTGGAAACAGTCTTCACAGCTGTCTGATCTCTGAGTTAAGTAAAAGCTATGCTGGAGGAAGTCAGAGGCAATGATGGCAAGACCTTCAAATTCGGAATCTGGAGAGACAAAGGGTTGAGCCCAACTCCTGCCTGCTCAGTATCTTCAACTCCAGAGACAATCCATGAAGCAAATGAGGATGCTGGTACTACCAGAGTGCCTTCTGGCTGGGAGCAGAACCCCATCTCCTAGAAAGAGGGGAGTCAATCACAGAGCTCTGTCAATAAGCAAAGCCCCACAATCGCCACCCCCAACAGTCAAAATAATGCATGCTTGGAACGTTAGCAAAAGTTCACTTCATGTTTGTCCTTACCCTTAATTAAACCATACAGAATTAACATTCTTGTTTATTAAATAATCACTTCTTGGTTTTGATTTGAAACATTAAAATCTGATCTCTCATTAAAACATTTAGTCATTTATCAGGAACATGTACACATACTACATGCCAGACCATGTTCTAAGAGTTTTGCAAGTATTTCAATTTTACTAACATGAGGTCATTGGTGGCTCAAACAAAAGCTATTTCAGTAAAATGGCAAAGAGAAAATGGGAGCAGAGGGTCTAGACAAAAAAATGAAAATTTTGTTCTAAAGGGGGAGAATACAAAAAGGGTAAAGGGAAAAATATAAATGGGATGAAGTGGAGGTTCAAAGAAAGTTGTTTATCTTTTAAAAGGTTCCATTTATTTATATTTGTGTGCATGCAGATGTACACATGAAGGCTGGAGGGCAGCTTGCAGTAGTAGGTTCTTTCCTTCACTATCATGTGGGTCTCAGAGACTGAACTCAGTTCATTACACTTGGCAGCAAATAGCTTTATCTGCTGAGCCCTCTCCCTGGGCATGCTTTGTTTTTATGACTTGGGTGTCACTATATCATGTTGGTATGCACTTTCGAAAGGGCCAGCAGAGGAGGAGAAACAAAAGGCTGGGTGGAGCCAATGCTCTTGTTTCTCTGTGGAACACTTCCTTGAGGTGGCATGGAGACAGCACAACATGGCACTAAGAAGAACCTTCTCAACAAGGTGTTTCTCAAATTAAAATAAAATTCTGATCCCTCCCCACAAATCTCTACTCTCTCGTCTGCTCTTCTTACTTTTGGGTCCTTCTCAGTAGCCATCTGGCCATATATGTAGTGTACGATCTGATTTAGGGTCTCCCATACTCATCCAAGAATCAGGAAATCAGGATTTTCTGTTTGATGTTGACTATGGAAATACTTTGTGGAACAAAGTCATCTGGACACGCAGTGTGACAAACAGTTTATCCACAAAGGAGGGCATAGTACAGACTGCAGACCTTAGATGCTGAAGGTGTGGCAAGGCAGCTGGACTCTCTTCTGGCTTTCATTAGACGGATATAGAACTCTGGGTTAGGAGTTTGAAACTGCTTTACTATCTTCTCATTTTCAGGATGTAAAATCTTAGGCATCACTGATTTAAGAATCAAATTAACCTTTGTACAGGAACTACTCTTGGGCTTGGAATCTTCCTTTTTTGATAAAACTTTTGAAATAGATCCATATAAAAATAAGGACACTGTACATACAAATGTTAAAGAAAACAACTTAAGACACCAAAAATTGCCATCTAGCTCAGGGATCAGTGACATACAGTGATAAGACCCAGTGTGGCCTACTGTTGGAAGTCAGTCTCAGCCATTAGTTTATCTACGGTAATGAGAAAGTCAGAGTCCAGCTTCAATGATGGCCACATGACCTCCAACATGGTATCAATTACTTGATACTCTGTAGAAGAGACTGGTGGACTCTAATCCAGCTGAGGACTGAACATGGGATGGGGTGCACCTCATTGATGGAGGGTTTCCTTGGCATGCTGGATTCACTAATATTTAAACTATAATTCATTTGGAATTGCACAAGTAAAACAGACACTGTCTTCTTTTCCTTCCTCAAATGGATAGCTAATACTGAAATGTGTTTGTGACAGACAGCTCAGAGCCTCCTTAGTTACTTATAGAGTTTTTGTATACATGTGGGCCTTTTCTGAGTCTCTATTCTGTGCCATTAGCATGCCTACATTCTCACAATGCAACCACTATCACAGCAGACCAGTGGATATAGCTTTACAGCAAGTTTTACTACAGCAAGCTATCATAATCCATTCATTTTCTTCAAATATGCTTTTGGTTCTTTCTTTTAGCTTTTTCATATTCATTTTAGAATCAGTCTGAGATTCTGGGTTTGAAAAGATTCTGTCTCAAAAAAAAGACAGGGCTTGAGAAAGATCCCAAGGATACTCTCTGAACTCTAAACACAGGTGTATGTGAGCACATACACATGTTGACACGAGCTTATGTATTGACTATGTGAATAAACATGAGAAAGCAGTTTCAGTAAATTACTAACAGTGACTAGATGATCTCATGTTGGTATTTACTATGAAGTGATTTCAAACTTCTGGAATGTTTACTTGAGAACTTTCATCATAAGATTAGTCAACCATACTTTATCAGGCAAAAAAAAATATGCAAATATAAATAAGAAAAACTTATGTTAAATGTTTATTAGTAATACAACACACAAAGGACTCACTCTAACTTATGAGAAAAACCTCAGGCTAGGCATAGTAGCCCACACTGGAATCTCAGGCTGAAGTAGGAGCAATGTCAGCCCATGAATTTGAAGCAAGTCTGGGCTACAAAGTGAGTTCAAGACCAGTTTATATTATGAAGCAACAACTCTATCTCAAACAGACAAAACCAGAATTTGAGAGATGACTCAGTGGGTAAAGCACCTGCCCTGTAAGTGTGAGGATTGCAGCTCAGATCTACTGATCTCACTTAAAATAGCCAGGTGGGATAGTGGCTTTCCTGTCATCTCAGTTGACAGGAAGATGAGACAGGGAATCCCTGATTAAACATCGAGTGCCAGGTTCAACAACAACATATGAGGTAGAGGAAACCACCTAGCATTAACCTTGGGCCTCTACAAGCATGTAAATACACATGCATGTATACCCGCATGTACACATTCATTTCTACACATGTAAACACACACAATTGTTAAAAATACCACAAAACAGAACTAATCATCAAAAAACATTTGAGGTAAATGGGAAAAGATTAACAAAATACTCACAGGAAATAAACTCATGGACAATAGTTACCTCTAACCAAAGTCATCAAAATTAAAACTTGCCATATCATTTTTACATATTTTTCCTGTAGGATTAAAATGTAGCACAAGCACACAGACAATACATACAAAGGCAGAGACAGTTCTAGCAAAAGCTGTAGTGAAAGTGTATACAAATGACAACATTCCTGTACACAGGCCTACGCCTTCTGGGGAAACAATTTGGCAGACCCCATCTACTAGAGAATTTATTTATGAACCACCTAAATGACCAACAAGAGAAGAAAACTTTAGTAAACCATGACTACATCACTACAATGGAATACAGTGCCAACATTTTAAAGAAACAATAATAAGCTTATGTGGAGATAGGCACTATGTTCATAACGTACAATCAAGAGGAAAACTATTTATAATTGATCATGAGATTGCAAGAATAAATGAAATGGGCTTTGACACAGTAAAGGGACATGAATAATTAATGACAGTGGTATTACCATATGAGGGGAATGTGGCTGATTCATTTCCCTAAAATTGTCTTTAATCTTGCCGATATAATCTTTCAATTAAAATTAAGTGACTGCAAAGCCGTCTCGGGACGGTCTACTCACGGTGCTGAGTTTGCTGCAGATGATGAGGATCCTGCGCTCATACAGCATGCTGGCGTACAGATGCAACATGTTGTTCACATCCACAGCCACAAAATATTCTGTCAGATTTCTCTAGGAGAAAGAAGAAAGCAAGGCTTGTGGCTTATTTTGTTTGTTCTCATTACAAAAGTATCTCATAAAAGCAGGAGGCCATGTACTCTTCCCTTGTCCACTCCTTCTACCTGGGAGCCCAAGCTCTAATCAGGTGTGAAACCATGAAATGCAAAGTTCAAAGAGGCCTTGGAGATGAGCATCCTGAGCAACTGCAACCTTGTGTGGTGATTATGGGTTACAACTCAAGGTCATACAGAGCACTGTGTTTGTTTTTCAAGTTGCTCCCAAAGAAGCACAGGAATTCTGCAATCTCAAAAATGAGGAGACTCAGTCTGAGGGAAATTCTCCAAGATCAAAAGGTCTAATAAGCAACGAAGATAGGATTCTCCTCTGATCTTTGGGCCCTAAGCCCTATAACTTTTCCAAGATACCGTGTCATATAACCAAGAAAAAAAAGTGCCCAAGTTTTTTATAGCACAAAAGCAGGGCATTATCTGCCTCATCCTTTCTGCTGGTATCCATAGCATACACTCCCCAAAATGGTTCTGGTAGAATTAAAGCAATTTCAAAAACTCACTCAAAAGGGGGGAACTGTAGATAAACAGCAGCAAGTTGTGACAATTGCTTTATTTTAACCTGCTTTTGTTTTTCCCCTGTAACCTGGGTTTCATTCTTTTAATTAGCATTATGGATTAGGACTCTTCAGATTTCAGCAGGGAAATGGAGAGCATTTCATTCTATAACCCTTTGTACATCTACCTGACATTAATAATATACATGAATATGCTAATTTTTAATGTTACAGGTTTTTAATGCTGTTCAATAGAACTCTCAGGAAACGAGAGGGAAGGAAAGCTGGTGCCATGAGTGGCAGTTTATCACAATTAAAGATCTACAACACATAATTTAAGTAAACCAGTAATTTTATATGCAAAATAGCATAAAGTACTTCTCAACAATATTATGGCTAAAGATAAATAAGAATGAGCCCTTATCTCATCATTTATTATTGTTTGACCAGAGTATTAGGCTAACCATCAAAGTTCACAAATAAAGAGCAAGTGGATTGATAGCATTATATACTGAGTCCCCCCCCTACACTGTGCCTCCTAGATACTGCTCACTTACTCTACCGTGATGAGGCTTTATACAGGTCATTTTGCTTAACCTTAAATCCATTTCTTGAACCTTTCTCTATTTAAAGATATAAAACAGAGGTACAGAAGTGATGTAATATGGCAAAGGTCACATGATAAGTGGACAACAGAAAATTCAGTCTAAGGTTTAAAAATATAACACTTTTAAGGTATAAGAGAAAATATATGTGCAAAGAAAGGGAAACCCCTATTTATATAGGAATCCTGATGTGGGAAGTCCTTCTGTCTATGTGTTGCTTTTATTGATTAATGAATAAAGAACTGGCTTGGCCTATAGCATGGGAGGAAGAGGGTGGAGTCAGAGAGAAGCAGGCCTGCTAAAACTTTGCTGCTGGTAGGCCACGACCTTGTGGTGATATACAGATTAATAGAAATGGGTTAAATTAATATGAGTTAGCCAATAAGAAGCTAGAGCTAATGGACCAAGCAGTGATTTAATTAATACAGTTTCTGTGATTATTTCGGGTCTAAGCTAGCCAGGCAGTAGGGAACTAATAAGCAGCAGCACTCTCCTTACAACAGAATCTTTATATGCCAAGCCAAGTGTGCCTTATCTGTGTTCTTTCTAGTCTTCCTAATAACCTTTAGGTAGACAGTGCTATGTCTACAAGGAGAAACAACAGCTTGGAAAGTCTTAGCTGCTTCTAAAGATCACCCAGTAAGAAGGGAAGAGACAAGAGCAGTTCTCTTGAATCTGAAGTTTATCTGTTAACTGCCTTATCAGCTTGCTTCCTAACAAACTCCATGGAAAAATAAAAATGAGCACTAAAGGCGGATGGAACTGGGCAAGAAGCATTTCTCTGCCTAGTGGACTGAGGAACGCTGAGCTAATGATGTCAGGGTGGGGTTTGTTCCAGAGACAGTGACACGGCAGAGCAGTCTTCACAAACAAATATGAGGCCCTCAGCTGAGCATTTCAGAAAGAGCTTAACTGCTGATAAATTATAGGAATTTTTCTTTTAGAAGAAGATGGAAGTAACAAGAAAATAGAAATGAGGAGCTTAAAGAAGGCCAGAAAGCCCATTAGCACTTTTGACAGATCCAAAGATAACTCTGAAGCCACCAAAACGTGGCCTCAAGAGTCTGCCAAGAAGCTTCACGCTGAGGAGAAATATGTTACACAGCTTGCCGTCCAAATAGGGAGACACAGCGTCAGAGACAAATCCTGTGCCTTATTTTGGTGGGAGGAAAACACACACACACACACACACACACACACACACACACACACTCACACTCACACACACAGATCCTTTTGTGGATGGGGAAGGGTCTGTTCCTGAAATAAGACGCCATTTGACTGCAGCAGGCCCCCATTCTCAGTTAAAATCTGAGTGACTCAGGTGCTTGATTCAAAAACCCTACACAGGTATGTTAAAAATATGTAACATTTAGCCAAATTCTTTCTAAACTGTCATGTACTTTTTTTGGTATTTCTCATCCCATCTGTGCTGATCACCAAGATATTTGTGTCTAAACAGAAGCTGTCTTTCTTATCTGCTTCCTCCCCTGCCTCTTTCCTTCTGGGATGCCACCCGCCAGAGTGGGAGGGAGTGCCAACAGCCCCAACCCAGAAACTTCTTGGATGGAAGAGCACCTGCAGGGCAAAGGGGGCCTGGCTCACTCTTAGTTCCTGCCAAGTTTGGGCTCAGAGAAAGCCCCGTGGAGACAGGGATCTCCCTTTTGCTGTCAAGTGCCCAAAAGCTTGAGTTCCATGGTAAACCTCAACTTCTCAGACTTACCCTGCCATTTCCCACCCCCAGGCCTTTATTTCCTCCCAGAATACTCTTCTCTGCTCTAAACATGCCCATTTATTTGACAAGACCCAGCCCCGTGTCATCTCCTCCTGGACTCTACTGCCAAACATTCCTTTGTATTTCCATGACAATTTGTTCCTATCTAATAGTAACTCAGATTTAAGTGTGTTTTCCTTCTAGGTTGAGTACCTTTGAGAGAATTACAAATCCCAACATCTAGCAGTTTGTTGAAAGAATAAATCCACATGTGGAGGAAACAAGTGGCTGAAGACTACCTGGCCTTTGGCTCTGGTGTGAGCGGGGCACAGGAGAGTGTTCTAGCAGACAGTGTGGTGTATCGGAAGAAAAAGACACCTGATAGAAAATCAGGCTGAGTCAGATGAGGTGACCAGCAACTTAATATTGGCGAAGGGCACACAGAAAAGAAAACAGGTTCATATTTGTGTTTCAAAAAGCTCTCCTTGAGACTGGAGAGATGGCTCAGCAGTTTAGAACCCTGGATGTTCTTCCAGAGGACCTGGGTTCAATTCCCAGCATTCACATGACAGCTTACAACTGTCTTTAACTCCAGTTCCAGAGGATCTGACACCCTCTTCTAACCTCTGGGGACATATCACACACACACACACACACACACACACACACACACACACACACACACTCACATCCCACAGATATACATGCAGGAAAAACAGCTACAAATATTTTTACGTAATTTTTTTTTAAAGATCTCCTCAAAGCTCATAGAAGATGGAAAAAAAGGCAAACTACTTAACTGGTTACTGACACATTTGTAGGGACAGGGGAGAATCCAAATGTATAAACAAGTCAGAGGAAAGCTTTAGGTGTACATGTGAAAGACACTAACCACAGTACTTGACAACAAATTAGACTTGGAGAGGGGAGAAGAAAGGCTCTCTGGGCCTCTGGCCTTTGGAATTGCAAGGTTCTGCGCACCACATCTTTTGTCCAAACATTTCAGTGTCTACTTGTTTAATAGAGTGTCAATCCTCCTAAACAACCACCATTTCTGTCCAACAAGGCAATTCTGCTACCTGTTCCTCAGCTTGGGGTCTCTGAACTCTGCAACCCCATCACAGCTAAACCTGAGTCCTTTATCCTCTGCCAGTTACTGCTAGGGAATTCACATGCCAGGAAAGGAGAACCTTGCTTGAAGCACTGTTTCTGGACTCTGGGCTCTGGTATTAGTTTATGTACTGCCAGTGTGTTTCTACGCTTAAGGACATTCCTTTCCCTGATTGAACTTTATTACATACCTTCTACTTCACCTATCCCTTGGATGGCTGGATAGCGGGTATGAAGGTGCCTATTTCCCAGTCTGGCCAGAACTCAAACCTAAGGAGGACTCCAGACAGTGCAGCATGGAAGGTGAACCAGAGGATGAATGTGCTGCAGCAAGTCCTTGAACTCTCATGTAGCATCAACAGTAAAATCCCAGAGACAGATAATCTGAAAATCAGAAGCCAAGCCACTAGAGAAGTCTCACCTCTATCAAGGCTGGGCGACCCTGTAGACTAAGCAGACTAAGCCTATCTCTCCTCCCATTTTATATTCCCTCTAGTATCAGATTAAAGGTGTGTCTCTCTAGTACTGGGATTAAAGGTATGACCTATCACCATCTGGAATTTTTTTTTTTTTTTTGCACTGATCTTGGGTAGCCCAGGGTGGCCTTGAACTTACAGAGATTCATCAGCCTCTCTCTTCCTGGGATTAGAGGTGTGTCTTACCACTGCCTGACCTCTAGTGGCTTAGCTTTGCCCTTCTGATATTCAGGTAAGCTTTATTTATTTATTTATTAAAACATAAATAAAATACCACAATATTCTTGTCTTTCATTTGTGATCTGTACAAAAAGATGTGAAAGTCTCAGCCCAGACAAAGAAGAGCATGCTCCTGCGAAGCATCTCCCAATAGTCATTTCTTCCTTGTTCCCTGTTGGCTCCAGCACAGCCTAGGTCACTGGGGACTTCATACTCACTGTGATTCATGCCTGATGTTATGAAGCAGGTGGAGGTCAGAGATGGGGATGGAATGGGTTGGGCTCAGGAGACAATATCAAGTGCCTTAGAAAGAAAGCGTCTTA